CCTCAGTCAAAACACGTGCGACAGCCCTGGCTCAGGTAGCGTTTTAAGGTTTTCACGCGTCGTGACTGGTCGTTTTTCTGCATGACGCTTTCCCCAGAGGGACAGAGGGACGTCTGTCTGTCCCTCTGGCGTCCTGCTTTGTGTCGCACTTGGGGCCTTCTGTCGAGGCCGGTCCTGGACGTGCCGAAGTAGGAATGGGGAGGGGGCCCTCGGTCTTCTCCGTAGTCCCGAGTGTCTCCGGGGGCGTGTGAGCCCGACACGACCCAGCCCGTCCTCCTCTAAAAAGAGATGCAGGCAGCCCGGCCCCTGGAGGATTACGCAGACGATCTGGCTTCCAGCTGGACGTGCAGCCGGATGACAAAGTGCCAAGTGGTCCTCACCCTCCCAGTGCTTGTTCCCGAGCCGGATACACCAGTGCTTTCACTTAGGAAAGAAGCAGCGGACATCTGGGTGGCAGCAGGAGCCCAGAAGCCCACCCCGGGAAGGGGCTAGGCTTTCCCGGCTCGCTTCCATTTGCCTTCTGCCTCTGTTTCTTGTGGGACCGAACCGGCAGACCCACTGATTCCTAGCGGAGGGACAGCTGGAAAGAGCACACTGCCCTCCGCCGTCCAGACCCCGTCGTCACGGTACTGATGCAGGCACGGGGGTGGGGGTGCATGGGGGGGCAGTGCTGGGCAACGCCCTGAGCACAGCTGTGGACACACCCTTCTCCCCCGGCCCCTGGCGACCGACCTTGCTGCTGTAAAGTCAACAGCTGGAAGAAGCGCTTTTGTTCCGACCCAACCGGGGCCTTGATGGGGTTCACCCTTCCCGCTCCTGCCCTTCCCGCTCTGGTCAGTGGCGGGAGGAGTCCCAGGAAGCCCGGAGCCCCTCGCTCAGCCCCGGCGCCCAGGGTCCGGTGCCTGCAGACGCGGCCCCGGACGAAGCCTCTGGAAACACAAGTGGGAATTCTTTTCGAGCCTACAATTTCTCAAGTTCACGTATTCAGAAACGTCTCTTGCCCTGAAGCTGGTGGTCAAGCGGCAGGATGGGGAGGCGGGACTGAGGATGGGGATGGTGGGGAGGGCTGCGGATCCCTCCCGCTGTGGGCACAAGTGAGGGGACCAGTTTGCACGGTGGGGCTTGGGGTGGGGAGACCTACCTTTTCAAGCATCTTGTCTTGTATTTTCCTTACATGTTGTGTTGTTCATATATGTAAAAGTTATCTATGCTCACTGTAAAAAAGTATTTTGTTTTTAATGTGTATTTAAGGTATTTTAATGTATTTTTTATGTATTGTGTTTTCTCTATATGTAAAAGTAATATATGCTCATGATAAAAATATATGTATAGCCTGTCTTTTTTTGATGTTTTTTACATATTACGTTTTTCATGTATATAAAATAACCAATGCTCCTAGTAAAAATAGCTTGCGAAATTGAGATACGCCTTGATCACCCACTATCAAAATGAGAAGTTCAGCTTTGATTTTGGTTAAGTGCTTTAGAGTAAAATCAGCCCGGAACCAGAGGGCAACGTCACCTGTCCAGCTCGTGTCCCAGGTGGCCTACACCTACCTAGCCCGGCACGCCTGCTCCCCGAGCCTCAGCTGGGCCGGGGAACCTTTCCTCACCGAAGACTCCACGCAGCCGGCGGGGGCTGCAGCTGGCCTGAGATGAAACCGTCTGGCCCAGGATGGAATGTCACCTGCTAACGCACGGTGGGGGTGCTGTCAGTGGGTGGCACAGTTTTGCCAGCCGAGGGCCGGGGCTGGAGCTCCGTGGGGGCAGGAGACAGGCCTTGGCTGTAAGGAGGTTCTCACAGTTGGTGGACGTTGATGATGAGGTTATGCCTGGATTTTTTTAAGGTGGGGAGGGAGCCAGGTTGAAGGGGGGTGGCGAGAGGGAGGGTGGGGTGTCGGATGGTGGGCCAGGAGACCCCGTTTTTGGAGCAAGACACTTGCTGACTGTGTTTGTTGGTTCCTGTCCGTGCTCGTTGGCCCCACAGGTGAGTTGGGTTTTCCTGGAACTAAAGAGAAAAAGGCCGGTGGGTGGAAGCCTGGGTGACAAAGGGGACAGCTTCTGTTTCCCTCCTCTGGTCTTTGTCATTGTCCGGGGCTGACTTGGCCAGGCCCTGGGTGTAAATCACAGACTTTTTAAGCACCTTGTGCTTCAGGCTGAAGGTCCTTTGAAAAGATCGACCTGACTGGGCATTTTGCCTGTTCTTTTTCCTGCACAGCGAGACGTCCCACCTGCTTCCAGGTGGCCTTGCAATTTAAACCTGGAAATGCTAGAGCCTTTTCCGGCAGCCACTTCGGATGACTCGATCGCTTTTCCACATCCTTCGTGCGTGCCCCGCTTTCTCGTTCTGCCGTGAAGCGGAACGTTTTCACATAATCCCAGGGAAGGATTTCAGCGTCCAGATCCCCAGAGGGCGCAACCTGGATGTCTGGGCTTCTTAGTGCAGCTGTGTGTGCAGCGTTCGGTACCCCGGACCCCCTGCCTGACCAGCTCACCCCGGCGTGCACGCGCGCGCATGTGTGTACGGGCTCACACAATCCTGTGTACACAATTCCTCTGCATCCTGTGTACATGAAACAGACACTTCGTTGAAAAACGAAAACTGGTATTTGTTAAAACACAAGTGCCGGGCACCCAGTAGGAGACAGGCCGTGGCCGGGCGCCGAGGGAACACGGGGACAGAGACAGAGCCACCGGCCTCAGACTCGCGGCCAGCGGGCTCAATTTGGTGGCTAGATGTGATGTGAGGGCCATGCAGAGCCCAAACCAGTTTTATAAAAAATTTGGTAAGATATACATAACATAAGCTTTGCCCTTTTAACCGTTTTTAAGTGCCCAGCTCGGTGGCCTTAGGCATGTTCACATTGCTGTGTGACCGTCACCTCCACCGTCTCCAGGATGTTCCCGCAGTCCCACACTGAAACTCTGTCCCCATCAAACAACGACTCCACACCCCCTGCCCCCAGGCCCTGACGGCCTTGACGATGCTAGGGACCTCCTCTGAGTGGATTCAGTATTTGTCCTTTTGTGACTGGCTGATTTCACGTAGCATAATGTCCTCAAGGTTCATTATGGCAGGCGTCAGGATTTCCTTCCTTTTTTTGGTTGAAAAACATTCTATTGTGTGGATGGACCACATATCCACTTCTCCATCAACGGACACTTGGGTGCCCCGCCTCTTGACCTCAGGAGTTGGCGGGCTGTGAACACAGGTGCACAAGCACCCAGCAGGGCTGTTAAATTCACCGAATTAGTTGTCAACGTTTAATAATTGGGAGATGTCGCCCCCCCACCTTCCCCTCCCACCCCCGAGAATAGCCAGTGTTCAGCCTCCTGTGAAAAATAGGGCGGTCCGGCCACGCTGGCTGTTGTCCTTCGTGTCAGTGATCACTGGGGTGGGCAGGAGCCTCTCCTTACCCGGGGGGGGGGGCGTCATCTGGACCCCGAGACAGAAGGCTGGCCACCGCATGTTATTGTGCTCATGCCCTTGTTTCTCTTACAGCCGAGTTAAGAAAAAAGCAAAATACGTCAATTAACTGCGTCTCTATCAAAAGTGGAAAATAAAAAACAGGTGGTGAGGTCCCCACGTTTCGAGGAAAGAATATTCCTGCGTATCGAACATGCAAACAGGTAGGTCTGTGGGCAAAGGTTTGTTTCGTAGTGTGAGATAAACCAGCCCTTCTCTCGTCTGCTTCCTGTTGGTGTTTCGGGTGACGTCTGGTGGGGGTCTGGGCGTTCCGGGTTCCAGGAGGGGCTCGTCTCTATCATCTGGATAAGGACATAACTGCCCCCACGGCAAAGCAGCTGCAGCAGTTGAAGGGCGGCCTCCCGAGAGATATGTTTAAATCCTAACCCTCGATACCGCTGACTGTGACCTTTTATGGCAAAACGGTGTTTACAGATGTGATTAGGGATCTGGAGATGAGATTGTCCTGGACTAGGGTGGCCCTAAACCCGATGACAAGTGTCCCTACAAGAGATAGAGGAAGAGACAGGCCACGTGGTGACGGAGGCGGAGACTGCCGTGAGCAGCCACCAGCCCCCAGACGGCAGGAAGGACACCCCCTTCCAGAGGGAGCGCGGCCCGCCCACACCTGGCTTTCAGGCTTCCGGCCTCCACAGCCGTGAGAGAAAAAACCTGGGTCGTTTTCGGCCACCCAGTTGTGATACTTTGTTCCGAAGCCACAGGACACCCCCGCAGCAGGGAACTGGATGGGCCGTGCGGATGGAAGGGAAGCGTGTAGCCGTTAACTTAAAAGTACGGCTTCGGCGGACACAAAATGCAGGTGGCCTTTGGCTGCTCGTTGGCCTTGTGGTCGGAATCAGGGGACAGAGAGGCCCTGCCCGGTCCACGCAATGGCGACGGGGTCCGTGCTCCCAAAGGCGCCGAAGCTCCACGGAACCCCCACTTTAACAGGGAGGAGAGTGGGCACAGAGAGGGTGCGACGCTTTGCCTGGGGTCTCATACGCTCGATGGCAGCACCGGACGTGGCATGAATGAAAAGAAAGAGCAAAACGAGGGTGGCGACGGTTTGTGGTCCCCACGTGGGTGACCGGTGACCGGCAACTGGACCCTACTGGGCGTGTCACCTTTAAGGACAACCGGTAGGTCCGAACAGCGTCTCTTTGCCGTCGGAACTTCGGCCCTTCGGAACGGGCCATCCTTCGCTCCGCGTGCTCGCCGGTCCTTCGAGTTTCTTTCTAGAACTGACCGACGCACGTTTAGTGTGGGGAAGACACGAACCCTCTAGTCAGCTCTGAGGAGCGGCCGCACCGAGAAACGAGCCACGCAGAGCAAACCCTGTCAGGGCTTCCCGGGGCGGAAGCTCCCACCGGGGCGCGGCCGGGGAGGGCGCCCCCGCTGGACGGAGCGCGGCCTTTCCGTCATCGGGGCTGCACGTCACAGCGCTCCTGCCACCGTCCTCCCTGCTGCGTCCACCCAGGACGGGGCGCGCTCTGCGGCCGGTCTGCTCAGAAAGGCCACTTCCTGCGTTTGTCAACCTGCGATCACACGGTTGCTGGGGTCTGATGAGCGACAGGGCCGTTTCTCACACTGGGCCACCAGCCGTCCATTCACGGGGGTCGGGGTGACGCGCCAGAGCTGGGGCCCAGAGAAGCGTGGAGAAGTTTCCTGGTGCTCCCTGAAGGGTCCCCGTCTACCCTGCCCCCGCTTCTCTGCTGGAGCGGCTCCAGCTCTGCTGGGAGTGGGGTGGGCCACCTCCGAGTGGAGACATGCCCAAGCTGCTCCTCCTGGCTCCCCTCACCAAGCCCATCCCGATGGGTCGCTGCCAGCAGCCTTCGTGAGCCAACCGGAGGACTGCGGCGGCCCAGCAGACTGAGTCCTGCTGTTGTCGACACTTCGTGGCTTGAAACACAGCCGCTATGCGGCCTTGCTGCTTTGCGTGTGTGTGCGTGTGTGTGCGTGCGCATGTACATGTGGCGGGGGGGACCAGAATCTCTTTTTTTAAATTGTGCTACAATACACACAAACATAACACTTACGTTTCAGCTACCTTGAGTGTACAATTCAGTGGCATTTAGTACACCCCAGTGCCAGGCACCCACCACCTCTACCTAGTTCCAGAGCATTTCATCACCGCAAAAGGAAATGTCGCCCCCGTTCCCCCTCCCTCAGCCCCTGGCCACCATCGACTGCTGTGTTTCTAAGGATTTGCCCATTCTGGATATTTCATGTACATGGAATGATATGATATGTGGCCTTCTGCGTCTAGCTTCTTTCACTGAGCATGTTTTCGGGGTTCACGCATGGTGTGGCCTGTGTCGGCGCCTCATTCCTTGTGTGGCTGAGGACTGTTCCGTCGTACGGATATGTCACATTTCATCATCCACGCTTCTGTCGATGGCCGCTTGGGCCGGCTCTGCTTTCTGGCTGTTTCATAGTGGAACATTCGAGTACATGTTTTTGTCCGAATACCTATTTTCGGCGCTTTTAGGTCTGTACCCAGGCCAGGTGTTGCTGGATCATAAAGTCACTCTATATTTAACTGGTTGACAAACCACCAGACTGTTTTCCACAGCAGCTGCACCATTTTACACCCCCAGCAGCTATAAAGGAGGGTTCCAACTTTTCCACATCGCGGCCAACACTTGTTATTCAACTTAAAAAAATTTTATTGTAGTCATCCTGGGGGGGGGGTGAAAGCGAGTCTCGTTGTGGTTTGGATTTGCATTTCCCTGATGACTAATGACGCTGGTCTGTCCCCTGGGGCGTTTGCACAGCCTCCCTCACGTTTTTTTCAACTCCTTCTGCAACGGCAGGTAAGTCACTCCGCCCTCTAAGCCTCTATCCTCATCTGTCCAAGAGGGATGTAAACTAGGCCCACGGTCTTTGAGCTGCTTTGTCCATGTAGCCCCTAAAAGAATCATGTCCCTTTGGCATCTTTTCAGGTTGATATCTACTGTTTTTTGGGGGTTTTTTAATCATTAAGTTTACAAGGTTGTGAAGGATGCGATTTCTGATGTATTGTAAAATCCAACGTTTGAAAGACAAAACCGGTTTCTCGCTCTATTATAGAAGCAAAACCTGACATTTTGTCCTGCTTCCGATGTCATCGAACGAGTCATATTTCTCGGTCAAAGACAAACCAAGCCAGCAAACCACTCGGCACCCCAAGATAAACCAAAACCACAGAACCCCCAAATGATAAAACCCTACTATTTCCTGTGAACCTCGATTCTAGTCCATAACGAGAATGTTAATCCTGACCTTTGCTCTTCCCATTATGTGTCCTGACCTGTAGGGTCAGCATAATCACAGGAAAAAGTGGCTGCTGTGCCCGCCCCTGCACAGACCAGTGTAAATTTGGTGACTTTGGTTCTCTCGCGATTTTTTTCCCTCTTTAAACACCCGATGGCTTTTCATATTTGGTGAGCCGGTCCTGAGGTCTGCCTCCTCCGCCCTCTGCAGGAAAGCTTTCTTTCCCCGAATGCATCTGCCTCCAGCCTTCTTTGGGCATTTCTCTGAAATATACCAAATGAAGTGTAAACGATGGAGCAATGTGACTCCCCCCAAATTCTTCTTGGGTCTTTTCTCGTCCCCCCGAACCCCAGCGGTCCTGTTTCACGTCTTCTGCTGAGTTTTATTTTAATAAAAACATTTTATGTTTGAAAGTAATCCAAAAGAATAAAAATTTAAAAAATTAAAATTTTTTAAAAAAGAAAGTAATCCACTAATCGCCCAAGCACGTGTGGGCAACAAAACATGGACATAATTTAAATTTAAAATGTTTTATTTCCTGTGACTCTGAGACTCTCAGTGTTTAAAAAAATTCTGGATTGAAAGTTGATGCTGTTAATGAATCGATTAAGCCAACATAGACATCTTAGAGTTCCGGTCTGTATGGATCTCATGTGTGCATAATATTTAGGCGGTTGACATACGACGCTGTGAGTTTTCAGGCCGTTCGTGAGTCAGCGGATGAATTTCATCTGAGCTGCGGTTCCGAGCGAATTCCATCCCTATTTTGCATAATTTTTATTGGCACGGACTATGAGACAACTTGTTTATATAAATTCACACACGGTAACGGGATAGTTTCATTAAAGCTGTGCCGCTTGCTCCACATTTTGAATTTCTTTGGCGATTTAAACCCAAAGCCCCTCGGCGACTTAGCACCAAAAAAAAACAAAAAAAAAAAAACAAAGCAAAGAAGCGGACGGATCAGGTTCTCCGGGGGAGGGAAGGGTCCCGGCCTCCGCACTTGGTATGTAGGTGGCCCGGTCCCTTTCCTGACCCCAGGTCCCCACGTGTCCCCTCCTGCTGCCTCGCGAGATGGGGGCGGGGGAGGCGACCTTGGGACGCCCGGTATGGATTAGGGGACGGCGGCGTCCCTGAGATGGGGGGTTGTCCCAAGGCCCAGCCCCATGAATGCCCTACCCGGGAACGCGCCGGTGGCCCGGACACGCTCACCCTCGGACCCCTGGACCCGGCCAGCTGCGCGTTCGCCCGGAGGGAGCCAGGGGCCTCGGGGGTGCGAGCGCCAGCGCTTCCGGTGGATGCGAAGTGGGGGGCTGGGGGGCTGCGCTTACGGTTCCTTTGGGAGGGGCATGGACCCCGGTGCGACCCCGCAGCGGGCTGCGCCAGCCAGCGCAATAGCCGGGGGGCCGGTTCCCCGCGCACATCCTCCGAGTCGGGTCCCGAGTGGGTGCGGGGCGCGTGTGTGCGCTGTGCGTGTGTCTGTGGACTGTGGAGTGGATGCGTGGCGTGCCCGTGTTCGGCGAGTGCACGTACAAGGCATGTGTTTTGTGTGTATATGGTGCGTGTGGGATGTGCTATGCGCAGTGTGCGTGTGACATGAGTGTGCAGCGTGAGTGTGAGGCGCGTGTGCCGCATGCGGGGTTTCGTGTCCTGTCCCTCCTGAGACCTCAGCTCTGCTCACGAAGACCGCGTGGCTGGCAGCCTGCGGCACGGGAACTTGGGGCGGTAACCCAGAGCGATCTCGCAGCAGGTAACCATGGCAACAGATGCTCCTGCCCCCCCCCCGCCCCCCTTGCCGGGGTGGGTGTGCGCTGCCGCGGGTGTGCTCCAGGGCGGGTGTGCGCTGCGCACCTCCTACTATGGGCATAGGGGAGGGGAGGCGCGAGGAGGGGCTCACTCGGAGGTCCGGGTGCACTGCCCTCCTCGATCCTTGCTGCTTGCCTGAGGCACCCGACCCGGTATCCCCCTGGGGCCTCTGTGGGCCGCGGTTGGGGGCCCAACGATTACTGCTGTCCGCCTACCAGCCAGTGGAGGCTCAAAGCACTTTCTGCTACTGGGCGAGGAGGCGCCGCAAGGCAGTGGGCCCTCAGGGTCCTGCTCGCTCGAGAGGAGGCTGCAGATTCTAAAGATGGCCTGGACCACGCTGCCAGCACAGTGGTCTGGTTGTATGACCCGGTTCGACACAGGCTCGTCCGCAGTGGAGAGGATAGGACAGGGGCCAGCAGCTCACTGGCTTCTGGAAAGAACAGATTTACTAGCCTTAGCGAGTAGAACCTCTGTGGGGAAGGGCTGGCCAGGCCCCAGGGGACAGAACTTGGACATAGCTGCGTTCCCCGCCCACTTCCACCCAGAGCCAGCCCGTGAGTGACACTGTCTCAATTCTTACCCAGTTAAACATGAGGAGGTTGGGCTAGACTAGTTTTCACTCACTCATTCATTCAAACCTTTATCAAGTACAGTAATTCTCAGGTGTGGTTCCTGGACCAGCAGCATCAGAATCACCTCACTTGGGCTCCATCTGGCCAAGGAAACGTCCACACTCCTTGAGCAACTTCCCCAGGGCTGGTCTGAGGGGATTACAGCCACCTCAGAAGCTGGACGAACGGGAGGGTCTGAATCCCTCTCTGCTTCCGAAGCTGCCTGAGAAAGGCTTCAAGGGGTGTGAGGACCCCAAGGACACTGTCTCCTGGTGACAGCAGGCAGGGCTGGCTGTAAAGGGGGTAAGGGGACAAAGTCCTGACAAGGGGACCTTCGCCGTCCCGGTCATACACGCTGCCACACATGAAGCACCCAGCCCACGTGGAGATGTTTCACGCGTCACTCCCAGCCCCTGGACTGGCCGGCTCCGGCGGAGGCCTGCAGCTGACGGTTGTGTGCGGCTGACGCGTCAGTGTGCCTCACCCCCAGTCATCTGTGTGACGCCGGCGTGTGCTGCACTGCCTTGTTCCAGCTGGGTTTCTCCACCCTCCGCTGCAGTGGGGCGGATGGCGACAGGAGCTTTGTACCGTGAAATGCAGCGTCAGTTTTCAGCAGAGCGAGAGGCCAGGCGGGGAGCAGAGCGCGCGCGATGCAACGTATGCGCGGAGAGGCCCGGGCCAGCGTTCGGGAGGCCAGCGCTGCGCTCCAGAAGCTCCCCAGGGTGACCACGTGGTTGGAAGGGAGGGGAGGCCGGGCTGGGCAACCTCCAGCAGGCTCGCCACCGGCCAACCCCCTTTACACATGTTGTCATGTCCACCAGACACCCCACTATTACTTGGTCACCGTTTTTCTTTAAATCACCTCGTTCCCTTCACTTAATTTTACAAGGAAAAAGTTTAAAATAACAGATGTGAATGGAAAATCGGTAGCGTCCGCCCCAACCTGGAGGCCAGGCGCACCGATGTGACGGAAAGGCAAGAGCGAACGAAGCCGCGTTGTGACATTTCACCCAGAGCTCTGCGCCTGGGCCCTTCTCTGCGGGAGAAACGAGAGGAGGAGCAGGTGGACGGACAGGGCCGTGCGCCCCCGTCTCGCCGCTCCCGACCCTGTCGTCTGTAGCTCGTAAGCGGAGCGCACGGGCCTTCCGCGGGCCAGCACCCGCTCTAAGCAGTTTGCAGACGTTAACGCCTTTACTCCCGAGACGGGGCCCGCTACCGTTCCCCATGTTACAGGGGAGGGAACCGAGGCCCAGAGAGGTTAGCAACTTGCCTAGGGCCGCAGAGCGTTGAGTTAGTGGGAGCTGGGTCGGAGCCCGGCCATGCGCTCGGGGTAGCAGCTGTCACACGTTCAACCCCGCGGCTGCACAAATGGGAAACGGAGCGCCCCCCGCAGGCGTGCAGCCCACCTCGGCTCCTGTGTTCCTGACACAGGAAGCTCCTCCAGTGAGTCAGTCAACCAAAGGGACTTTTGGGGGGTCACTTGTGACGCCAGACATCTAGGCTGGCAGAATAGTTAATGTGGGATGGACCAGATTCTCTTTCTCTCTCTTCTGTTTGAGAACGACCCTCAGCCCCTCCGTGGGCCCAGTACCCGGAAGGCAGACATGGAAGCGCGGGCTCACAGCACAAGGCTGGGTGTCTTTTGGAGACTTGGGGGACATGATGGTGACCCCGGCACATGTGAGCACTCACCACTCCTCCTTGGGTAACTCACCTGGCCCCCTCCAAACAGGTAAGGCTGACTGCGGAAGGCCAAGGACGGATTTGGGCCTGTCGGTCAGACGCCTGGGCAGGGTACCTCTGGGTATCCTGCAGGCAGTGGGGTGACACACTGCTGGGTGAGGGCCTGGGGGCCACAGGGCCTTTCAGGCTGACAGGTCCCAGCGTGGGGCTGCTGCTTCGACAGCTGTGGAGGGCAGGCTGGGACGGGTCTACCCTTTCTGAGAGTTCTCCAGGGGTGTGTTTTATGTCTAGGTGCTCGAGACAGACAGACAGACAGACATGACCCCTCTCCTTCCCCCTGTCCACCAGTGCTGGTCTACTATGTGCCAGATGGACCTCTAGTTGCAAGTAGAAGCCAGAGGTCCAGGGAGGAGGGCTGGTTCTCGGGGAGGAACAGGCAGACCCCCGGGAGAGCCACCCTCCAAGGGAGTGTCTCGAATTGTTGGGCTGGGTTTGTCGGGAGCTGCATTTGACGAGCTCAGCACTTCTGCCTGCAGGGCTTCAATCCCCATGGCTGCCATGGATGCAGCCCCTGCCGGCTGCGACACCCTGAAGTAACCTCATCACCCCATCCCTCAGGCGAGGAGGCCGAGGCTCAGGAGGTTAACTGCCACCGAGGCCACAGTTGGTGGTGGGGACAGACTGGAGCAGGGGTTGTGCTGACCCCGAAGCCCATGCCCTTAAAAAGTGGTCTTGAATGCGTTGTCCTTGAAGTGGCTCAGGACCCACAGTGTCCAGGGGACAAGGTGGTGGACAGCACCCCATCTGTTCCGGCCTGGCCACCCAGTCCGCTCTCTGGAGCCAGTCAATGCCCTCTCTTTCTTGAGAGCTCTCCAGGGGTGTTTTATGTCTAGATGAGACACACAGACACACACACACACACCCTCTCCCCCCACCCCCTGCCCGCCAGCGTGGTCTTCTATGTGCCACGCGTTCACTGTGTTTGCTCGCCGAACAGCGTGGCTTAGAGAGTCCGGTGCGCCATCGGTTCACAGAGTCCCCCCACCCTCCCTCCACACCTTTCCCTTTCTAATGGGAAGCCCGCCCTTCCTGCGCCTCTCCCCTGCGTCCAGCCACCAGAGTGAACGGTTCCCCTGTGCTTGTTGGCGGCCCCATGCGTTAGGAACTTACTACACACTGGGGCCAACTGGTAAGACCCTAAGAAAACGCAGGCTTTAGAGAAAAAGGGTGGCACCCACGTCGGCCACTGTGACTTCCTAAGGACCAGGTTTGTCCTCTATTCCCATTGGGGCGACCACAGCCTGAGAGCAGGAGCCGGCCAGCCCCCCCGCCGCCTGCCGCGGCCCCCTCCGTGGTGGAGGTCGTTGTGGGGGGCAGGGTCGGGGCGGCTCTCCCCCCGCAGGCTGCGCCTCCCGGCGCAGAGCTCCCGCGCGCCCCCGCGTGGCCACGGACAGCGGCGCCGCCCGTGGGACCGGTTCCGCGGAGGGAGGGGGAGGGGCCGGAAGGAGTGGGGGGCCGAGCGGGTCTGAGCACCGTGGACCCGTTAGCCCGCCTGTGCGTTCGCAGACTTGAACCTGGGCAGGGGCCGTACGGCCAGCACCGTGAGGACCAAGCATGGGCTGGGGCTGGGGGGACACTGAGGCATGCGGTGCACGTCCCTCCCGGTAGGCTGGGGACACAAGGCCCATCTGTGTCCAGCCCAGCAAGAGGGCGGGCTCAGGGCCTTCTGTGTAGCTTCCGGAGGCTTCCTGGAGGAGGTGGGTCTGGAAGAAGGCGAAGGAGTTGGTTGGGAAGACGGGGCGGGGCGGGGCGGGGTGCGGTGAGGGGGTCTGTGGAGGACAGGAAGCATAGGTGGGGGCGAGGCCGTGGTGGGGAGTGGGCTGGCCTGCTGGTGGCAGACAGTGGGAGGTCAGGCCGCCAGTGACAAGGGCCTGTGGGGGTTCCTGGCCCTCACCTGGACTAGGAAGGCCCAGGGCGGGGGCGGTGGGGACAAGGGGTGGGGAATGATTGGGGGGCTTTAGACCCTGCCTCAGGGCTGGGAGAGGAAGGGAGGGGGGTCACGCTTTTCCGGGGAGGGCACGCACACTGCAGACCCAGAGGGAGGAGCGCCTGACCGTGCCGAGTCTCCCCGACACTGCCTGCTCCCCCCTGGGTAAGGAGGGCTCTGCTAAGTCACACGGGGACTTCGGGCACTGCCTTTGGAGTGGAGAAACCGGCCCGCAGGACAGCGGCCCACGTTCCAAACCGGCTTCACCAGCCGTGATGAAAAGCCCAGCGCGGACTTTACCGTCAGGCTCTGTGCGCTGTGCGGGGACAGTTACCTGCGTGACAGTGCCTCCCGGGACCTCGCGCTGGGAGCTTGAGACTGGCTGTGGGGGGAGCGTTCGCACCACGGCAGTGGGCAGGGGCTGCACATCGGGGCTTTTTGTCCTTTTCGGTCTGGAGGGTGGGTTGGCCGGCGCACCACCGCAGCTGTCCCTCCGGGAACCCCGAGAATGGGTTCGCGCGGTCTCCTCTTCTTTATGCTGCGTTTCCCGTGAAGTCTGAACGGTGACGTTCGCTGAGCCCGCCTCTCGGTTTTCGTGAGAACCAGTGGTTGACGGACGGGTTTGTAGACTGAGGGTCAGCGACACCTTATTACGTCCCTTCCTTGTGATGGAGCCTCGCCTCGAGGGCCTGGCCCGCACCCCCAAAGGGCAGCGAGCTAGTGGTGTGGTCTGGGTCACCGGCGATGAGACACAGCTCTGCCGCTTTCGGTGCCCCTGGACTAGCCGGCTGACCGCTCGGCTCCGGCACCTCGTCTGAGTAAGAGGGCTGGGTTGGCCAAAACGATCTTTCTGGTCTCGTCCCGCTCTGCTGCGTGGTGGCTCTGCCATGTCCATGAGCACCTCCCGCCACCACATACATCTTTGTCACTCCTCATGAAGGCCGTGGTGACTCAGCTCTTCTCAGTCTATGCGGTCCCCACCCTCCTCACGGCTCAGTAAGCGGCTCCGTCTCCCACGGGGCAGCCGAGGCCCTGAGCCTCAGACCCGCCTTCGTTCCTCCCGTTCCTTCACGCTCGCTCACGAGCCCGCCACAAACCGTGAAAGCCAGGCCCCTTAAAGGTCACTTGAATCTGTGCATTTTTCACGATCTCCACCTGCCACCAAGATGTCCTACTGGAACCCCAGGTGACCTTCCAACTGGCTGTACCTGTTCCATTCGCGAGCTTCTGCCCAGCGGTTAGCACGTTCACGTGCTCATCCACGCCAGAGCACCTCATGTCCTCGTGTCACTCGGCTGGGGGGTCCCCACTGCCTGTGGGGTAGCCTCCCGACTCCGTCCCTGCGCCCAGCCTCTCACACCAGCCTCCAAGAACAGCAGCCTTCTTCTCCTCCAGAAACATCGGCAGCCGGTCCCCCCGCGGGGCCCCGCACTTGCTCTCCCCCGCCTGGAACCTCGTCCCCAGGGCTTGGCGTGGCCGGCTCATCGTCATCATTCAGGTCTCACTGCAAATCCACCTGCTCAGAGGCCCCGTTCTCGGCCAGGCCCCCTGGCCCTGCCCCTCAGCCAATGTTCCCTTTGTATCCTCTGCTTTCCCGGCCCCCAAATGGCAAATTCTGGGGTGTAGGGCCCAGCTTTCTGGCTCACCATGTACCCTAGAGCCCAGACCAGCGCCTGACACCGGGCAGGGTCCCACTCTGTAGTTCTAAAAGGAATGAATGACTTGCTTCTGCTTTGGCCGGAGGGCTGGCGTCACAGGGCAGAAATGAGGGGCTGTCCCCCAGCAAGCCGAGTCCTCTGAGCTCCCCGCCCCCGTGTTCCAGGAGCCCCGCCCCCGAAGCTCTCCCCCATATACACCACTGCTTCCGAGTTGTTCCCGGCAGGAGGGGAGGAGGCTGGGCGGGTGGGTCCTATCTGGGTTCCACGCCTGGCAGAGACAGGATGGGCCTGCACGTCCTGAGGACTGTCCTCTGTGGCGGGGTGGGCCCAGGGTGATGGGGGGGTCACCAGGCTGGAGCACAGGCAGCGTGGCCTCACCCTCCCCTCCCCTCCCCTCCCGGGCCTCTGACCTAGAGCGATGGGCATTATGCCGCCTTGGCCAGAACTGCAGCCACCAGCTGTCCCGTCACTAAGGGCAGCAGCCGCCATGCGAGAGGGCAGACCCTAAGGGAAAGCAGAGGCTCCAGTGAGGGAGGGGAGTGGGAGCACGTCACTCACCCCAACTCCCTGGTGCTGGGCACCGTGCCCCAAAACGCCCCCACGAGCCCCCTGAATTCCTCTCGCCCCCCTCCTGGTCCACCTGCCCCGCCGCACTGGCCTCCCTGTGCTCGTCCAGCACGGCCCCTCACAGCCCCTGCTCGGCCGGCCTGCCGGCCTCCAGCCAGGCTCCCACTGGGGTGCCCCACTTCTCAGCTCCGGAGATGGGTCGGGGTCAGGGTGGAGAGGAGATGCGGGGGCGCTGGCAGAGGATGACTCCGGGAAGGAGCCGCTCACGTGGCCGTGTGGGGGACACGCAGGTTCCATGGGACCAGGAGCCCAGAGAGACACTTCGTACGAAGTCAGCACCTGGGCAGACTGCCGGCTGCTCCGGCCCTCAGCCTCCCCGCCTTGAATGTGTTCGCGTCCACCTGTCCACCCTCCTGCACTGCCGACATGCACACTGCACGGAGTCAGGTGTCCTGGGAGTGTCAAGGACGTGAACTGCTCCCAGGAGGCAGCCACGTGCGGGGCTGGCGGGGCACACCCACCCGCAGCCACCTGGCATCACAATGAGCGCAGGCCCACCTGAGGGGGCGCTGCCCACCTGAGAGGGTGTGGGCAGCGGGGCGCCAAGGTGGCTGTCGCTGGCCTCGGGCATGAGGCCCAGCAATTTGCACATGAGCTCGTACATGTGGACGTTCTCGAAAGGCTCCACCTCCAGGCCCCTCCGAAAGTTGGGGCCCACCGCCTGGAAGGTGGTCTTCATGTCCAGGACCTCGTTGTCGAACTGCACGTTCAGTCTCTGTGGAGGGATGGTCCTGGGTCCCCCTGGGACTGCCATCCCACTGCCTTCTCTGCCAGCACCCCTACAACACCCTCCCCCAGGTGCTGGAGTTCAAACATGGGGGCAGGGGGATTCTGAGCCTCAAAAGGTCTGTGGCACAAAGACAGAGCCTCTGCAAAGACCCTGTGACCTAAACGGAGACCCCAGTAAACAGGATGGAGCTGTCACACGTACATGCACGCACTCCTAGTGCATAGTGATAGCTGCGTCCCTTTGGTGGCAAATGTCCCTCAAGTTGGGGACTCGCTAGAAACAGGGGGTGCTTTTAGAGAGATGGAAAGAGACCAGCAGCCCAGAGAAGGAGCCCCTTCGGCGTGCGCCCCATGGGCAACTCACCCCGTGGATGACGTAGCCGGGGTCGCCGTACGTGAGCAGGGCGGTGACCCCGTGGTTCCCGGCGTAGCGGAGGGACTGCGGGAAGGACCCCTTCTTGTAGACGTGGAGTCTGGGGTGGGCGTCCTTGAGGACCCCGTGCACCTTCTCCAGCATCCCCTCCTTGGGGAGCAGCATGCCGTTTGGTCCATCGTCTAGGAGCTCGAACTCGATGTCCTCAAAGCTGAAGCTGGGGACCCGTGGCAGTCCGCCAAGTCGCCGGCGTGCTTGTCGATGGTGCTCGTGCTGTGGTCGGACGTGGTGACCCGGTCCCGTCGAGGCTGCTCTCCAGGCCGCTGGGCCCGATGCTGTCCCGGAGGTAGCCCACCGCCCCGTCCACCCGCATCACCATCTCCTTCCCCTCCTGGGACTCGGGGCCGTACTTGGAGCCCGTGGAGTCTGGTTCCCCAAGGCAGAGGGCGGCCAGGCCCAGGTCCTCTCTGTGAGCCGCGTCATCACGGTGTCGGTGCGGGGTCGCCCCTCCTTCTCGTCTCTGCAGTTGTGCAGGACACTTTCCTTCCAGCTCGGTGTCACGGCCATGCCTTGGTAGGTGACATTCCCGCCAGGGTAGAAGAAGAAGCTGGTCCTTAAGCCCTGCCAGGGAAGGCGGCGTTAATGCCACCGCACTGCTCCCCACCTTGCTCCCTGCTTGTCCCACGTCCGCTAGCACGTGGCCCCCTCCTGCCTGCTTCTCTGAGTCCCACTTGCTACTGCCCCTAACTGCCGCCACCAGACTCTTTATTTTCGAAAGGCCTTTAATGACTGTTCTCTTGGGGCTGATGACGATGTTATGGAGGAGAGCACAGGTGCGTGGACTCAGCCCTGAGACAGTGGATATACAAGTGTCCCCAGATAAGCAGTGTCCTCATCGCCACCGTGGCCCCAGGCCCCTGGAGGGCACCCCCGCTTCTGGCCTGCGGCCCCGCCTCTCCCGGCCGTATTCGTCCAGATGTGTGTCTTCAGCCCTCCACCCACATTCCATCGCCTGCCCTTCCAGCCTTCAATGGGGTCATCTGCCCACCTTTCCATAAACCGACTGCTACTTCATTTACGGATTCACCTGCCCTTCCGACCAGCTGTCTGCGCATGCCCCGCCGCCGGCCACGGCCCCAGGCCGCTCCGTTTAGACGGATGCAGGTGAGCCAAGCTCTCAGCTTCGGCTTCCCCGCGAGTGGGCCCGGCGTCTGGGGAGCTCCTTCCGGAGCGAGGGGACTCAGACTTGACTTTGCTGACTGAACGCCACACCGCCGGGGTCCGGAAGCCCCCAGAGCATTGCAGGGTGGTGGGCTTCTTGGGCCGACGCTCCCACGCACCTTGCTTTATCTTTGCCCCTGAGAAGTTGGCGGCCCGGGCCCGAGAGGCTTGTGGGAGGGGAAAGGGACAGGGCTGTTTTGCTGCTACACGCCTTTGTTGAGTTATTTTCCCTGTGCGAGCCTCCCACTCCCACCCCCAGTGCCAGAGGATCCAGAGGTGCAGCTTCCTCCCTGATTGGGAGGACGAAGGCCCCCCTCTTGTCCCAGGGCTCCCTAGAGGGCCCCGCCTGGCTGTGTCACTCACCATCAGATCCTCATGGGCGCCCAGCGCCCCCTCCTTCGGGACCCAAAGTAATACCCCTCTGCGTCACAAACCCGGGGACTCCCAAGGTGGGGAATGGGTCTGCCGAGGGGCTCACAGAGTCACGGCCAGGTCCCCCTCTCCCTGACCAGCTGTCCCCGTGGGTGTGGGAGCTGCTTTACCTGCCTCTGGGCGGTGATCCAGATGGGCACGCTGCCATGGTCCCACCACCTCTGGACGCCCAGCGTGGCGTGGCAGGGCAGCTTCACCCCGCTGGCCGTGTCGTTGTACATGTTCTCGATGTATCTGCCTGCAGGGGGCAGGGGTAGGAGGGCGGGAAGCAGCCACGCAGAGGGGACTGGGGGCAGGCTGTGTCACCGGGGGCCGGCGGGCGGGGACTCGCAGTCGCAGGCCCGTGTTCTCTGACCCGGTGGCCCTGCCTCCGCGTGTAGCAGCGCATCCTGCAGCTAACCGTGCACGGGTGCTCACGTACACGCCTGCGAGGACGTCGCCTGCAGCCTCGCTGGTTTTGCAAAAGATCAAGAGCAACCTGGGTGGCTCTCGGGAGGCAAATAAATTAGGGTCCAGCCGTAAAATAGGACCCTGGGCAGGAATTTAAATGAACCGAGTGGATATTCGTTTTCTGCGTGGGAGAGCACGCACGTGATGTCGGAAGGGAAGGGGGCGGGGCTGCGGTGAGTATGTCCCCCCTCCCCCTCCCCATCTGCGATAAATTAAGGGAAAAGGTGCCATGCAGGAAGGAGAACCGGGTGCCGCCATCTGTGTCTGTCAGGGGCCGTGGTCACAGAAACGCTGGAGTGGGCGTGGCCATCGGCACCGAATGGCACCCCCAAAGCCGTGCCACCCCGAGCCGCGGAGTGTGACATCATCTGGAAGTGGGGTCACCGCAGATGTAACCGGTTAGATTAAGATGAGGGTATTCTGCGTGGGGGAGGGGGGTGGCTTTAATCCACTAACAGGTGTCCTTACAAAAAGAGAGACACTGGGGAGATGGCCGGCCATGTGACAAGGGGGTGGTGACTGGAGGAATTCAGCCATCAGCCAAGGAAGCCTGGGCCCCCAGAAGCTGGGAGAGGCAGGAAGGACTCTCCCTTGGAGCCCCCCAAGGGAGCCAGGACCGGCGACACCTGGATTTTCGTTCAAGGGCAGCTGGGGGCAGGGGCAGGCGAGCCTCAGGCTCTTATCTCGCACCTTCCTGAATCCCAGCCACACTCACCTCCTCCAGAAGCCCTCCTGGGTCGCCACCCTGGCCGTCGTCACCATTTAAAATGAGATCACGGCTGTATTTATTTGCCCTGACTGTTGCCACCTACGGCGAGGGGTGCTGACATCCCCGTGGCCGTGCCAGGTCTCCCCAGTGAGTGTCCCCTCTGTGTCTCTCCTTTGTCCTTGCACGGTGCCCCATGGGACAGGGCTGTGTGCATGCACTGGGGTTCCTTCTGGGTTTCCCCGGTTTCTCAGCACCCCTCCTCCCACCTCACCACCAAGACCCTCCTGAGGCTAACACTCACCAGTGACCAGGGTGAAGTGGCAGGGGCCGGTCATGGTGACAAAGGTCGGGGTCACATAGCGAGCTTTGACCCCATCGTGCGCCTTGGCGTCCAGGTTGGGAGTGCTCCCGTCCAGGTTGGGAGTGCTCCCGTCCAGGTTGGGAGTGCTCCCGTCCAGGTTGGGAGTGCTCCCATCCTGGTCGTCGTTCCAGTGGAAGCCGTCGAGAGACACCAGGAGCAGCTTGTTCCGGGAGCCCTGCCGGCGGACGGGCACCCCAACCCTGGAGCCAGGAGGTGTGGCCAGAACCACAGCCAGGAGGATGGCTGAGCATCTCATGACAGCTTCTCCAGACAAGCGTCCGGGCTGGTCCCTGCAGGGGAGCAGAGCAAAGTCCCAGGGTCACCCAGTCGATCTCATCCTGTGCGTCTTTCAAAACGATACTGAGCACGTACCTGAGTGAAAGAAAGAGGTCCCTGGTCGCCCGTGTCTGTGCCACCCCGGCCCAGCCCCCATGAGGCACCTGCCTTTATTACCAGCTGAGCTCTCTGAGCTCCATGCTCCTCCCACCTCGTGCCATGTCCTCCCTGGGGAGGGTGGGGACCAGTGCCAGAAGGCTTGGAGAACAGAAGGGGGCCGCTCCATCGGGATAGCCTGTGTCCCCACGCTGGTCTCATAGCAACTCTTGGTCCCTGTGCCCTGTTCGCTCTGACCCCGGAGCACCCGGGGAGGCCTTTGGGGTACCTGCGCCTCAGGTGTGCATGGGCCAGGCCTGTGGGGGTGGGCTTCCCATGGTCCGGGAGCTCAGGGCCCACAGCTCAGCCCAAGGCTGGCATTGTCCAGGGGAGTCCCAGCCTGAGTGGGTGCCTCTTCCCCTCCCTGGGGCCTCCGGGTCACCAGGGCCAGAGCGCCAACCCAATAGCTCACATTAGTGTCTGCCCTGTGGGTCCTCAGAGGCACACGGGCGTGGACGGTCTCGTCTGATGGACTTCGGCACCAAGGTGATCATAACACGGGGCTCCCTTGTCACCCTGTGCTCCCGGGGGCGGGGGTGGGGAGCGTGGGAGAAGGACCCTGAGTCCAGTGTGCATTTCTCTCACTGTGCCCGTCTGTCTCTGCCTCTCCCTGTGAAGCCCACTCTGTGCGTCAGGCACTGTGCTAAGTTCTGGGGACACCCGGGTCCGAGACAGACATGTTCTTGTTTTCATTCTGGTTGAGGACGCACAAAAGAAAACGAATAAACAAGTAAAACAGTAAAATAGAGTCGTCCAAAAGAAATAAAGCAGGGAGATGAGACGGGGCATCTGGCAGGGGACGCGGCGGCCCCCACTGGTGGATCTTCCGAGAGATTGACGGGAGAGGGGGTGATCCTGGGGTCACGGGCCGGGGTTGGGGTTGGGGTCGGGATAGGCTGGGGGCGCCGCGGTGGGTCCGCATTCCTGGGCAGTGCGGGGTCGGGGGGCTGCGAGGGTTTAATCAAGGGAGTGGCTTCGACTCATCTGACATTGAGAAAACGAGCCGCCCCCCCGTTTGCAGGTTGAGGGCGGTCTGTGGGGGGCAGGAAGGGATGTGGGGTGCTGGGAGGGGAGGTGACTGCGGGGCAGGAGGAGGTGGTGGCTGTGACGGATGCTGAGGGAGTTGGGGGGATTTGCCGAAGGCACTTGCTGCCAGATCGCTGGACGGGGAGATGGAACGATCCAGGAAGACCGCCGGTTCCCGCCTGAGCAGCTGGGGGATGGCGCAGCCTGTGAGCGGAGGTCAGCGGGGAGGTCACGGGGACCAGGGACAGCAAGCGGGGTGGAGGAGGGGAGAGCTCAGGCTCGAGGCCGGGAGGTGAGCCACCGAGTCTTCTGACGTCCGGGCTCCGCGTCTTCTAAAACAAAATGGCTGCCGGGAGTGAAGACTACACTTCCCAGCATTCCCTGCAGCGCGGTGCGGCCACGTGACCGCACCCGGACCAATACGGCCGAAGGACAACGTCGCCTGACACCGCAGCCAGCTCTGCTCCCCTTCTTTTGTGATTCTTGCTCGGTGTGGGGCCGCAGGCTCAGCGGCTGCCCCAACCGCGGGATGAGGGGCGCCCGGGGAGGGCCCGCTGGGGGGTGGCCCAGGACGGCGGCCCCGCTGCGGCGCTGCAGAGGGACTCGCGCCGTCTGCCTTGGGTGTCGCGTTGCTCTCTGTCGCAGGGCGCGTCCGAGGCGATGATGGACTGGTGGCTCCGGGCGGCTGTGCTGCCGCTACGCGGGCAGTGACGTGACGGGCCGGCCGCCGCGGGGGTGGCAGGGGCG